TCATTCCTCGATTGAGGATCGTTCAGTTTTCTGGAAAATGGTCTGAAATGAAGCTTCATGCCAGATACTGGAGGCGATGCTGCCTTACCGATTGAAAGAGTTGAGTCAATCTGACAGGGTTGAGATGAGGAATTAGACTCCGAATCACTAGACTGCTGAGGAGGTGCATAAGCTCTAGTCGATTTGCTGGTGGCTTCTGATTTTTCAGCCAAGGAGCCGACCCGAATCAAACAGGACATGTTTCCATCTGAGCAAACATCAGCGTCTACTTTGCAATTTGGACCGACAAACTGAGGCTTAGGTGAACTGGTAGGACTTGCAGCGTCTGAAGCATGAAACACCAATGCAGTTTCTATTTGGTCTTTTTCGTTTGCAAAGAAATTGCTCATCTTTTGGCGGATCCCCTGAGCAATGGCCCCCTTGACTCCCTCGAAACTCAAAGGCTGCCGTTGATTGTCGACCTTGGGAAGTAGACATGTACTGGTGATATTCCTTTTCCCAGTGAGGAACATGTTCAAAGTGGTCTTTGAGGCCAGGGCCGGCTGCCTCGGGCCTGACGGAATGGTGGTATTGCCGAAGACGAGGGTGCGGTCAGAGAGCATTGTGCTCTCTGCCGGCCTATCAATGACGTAATCGGACTCGGATTTGAGTCCAGGTCCGTCTGAACAGACGCTCGTCGAGTCGATGGACATCGGAACTTCACTCATGGCCGGTTCTGGGGTGGTCGCAACCTGAGGCAGAGAAGCCCGAGTGGTGTCCAGATCGCAGGAGGAGGTAGGCTCTGGACTGTTGACGCTCGACTCGGGCGTCATGGCTTCGGCGATGGGACTGAGGGGCAGATCAAGTGGCAGTGTCGGCGGCAGCGATGTGACGGGTTCTCGGAAGCCGGCAAGCGTGTCGATCGGCTCTCGTGTCGTGATCCAGCCGCCGGTTTGGCTGCGAACGAACGGCCAAACAAGCGAGGCGAAAGGAGTGTCTACATGAAAGTGGTCGGGAAGCATGGCAGTGGTAAGTTGATGTTCAGAGCCGCCAGTCTGCGAGTAGGCCAACAGGAGGAGCTGCTGTACCAGATGAGCTTCGTCCAAATCCAGCATTACAGCCTTGCTGCCGACCTCCGGATCCGTAGCTTGTCCGGCCAGTTGGAGTCTGTCGATAATCTCGGCGATTGAAGCCGCCGCCTCCAGATGCCGTTGCAACTGGCCGACGTCTTGACCGCCGGGTGGGCAGGACTGGCAGGCTAATGCCACCCGTAACAGGTCGGCCAGTCGGTCGCGAGTCTCGGCCTCTAGCAGCAACCGAGGGCCAGAGCCATCGGGCTCAGACAGCACCGGCGATGTGTGCAGCCGACGCAGAAGATCGGCCAGGTTGGAGTGGGATTCCTGCATGGCGGCTAGGCCGAGGAGACCGGCCAAGTGGGTCATCATCTGTCGCATCGGTAGGTCCAGCAGACGAGCCGCAGGAGCCTCTCTTCCGCGGAAGTAGAGCTGACTCACTATGCCGAGTCGAGTACGGTTTTCATCGGTCAGAAAGAAGGCCTGTCGTGGAGAGTCGCCAAAGAGTTGAGCGGCGCTGAACTCACGAAGCTGGTCCACCACGAGAGAGCATTCGGCATGACTGATGCAGCCGCTGTGGGCAGCGTGATGCAGAGAGAGCGAGATCTCGGCCACCTGCTGTACCACGGTCGGTGAGGCCGCAGGGCGGTCCCTCGACAAGGTTGCAGCCTCCGCGTTCAGCTCTTCCGGGGCCCGGATGGAGGGTAAGTCAGAAGCAGAGATAGCGGTCGCCAGGATCTGGCGATCCGCCTTGGACAGTTGGACAACCGGCTCTTCTGCATTAAGCGTCCGGCAGATTTGAAAGCCCGCATCTCGGACCCGTCTGCTTCGGCCCTCCTGTACAGACTGCAGTCGTTTCACGAGATTCGTCAATTGCAGCCTCAAAATTCGGTTCTGCTGCACGTCATCATCGCCCAATAGGGCTTTCAAACTCGGCATCACCAAAGCCAGTTGGTTTAGACACAGACCTGTCGGACTCATTAGCCCACGAAGATAGAAGAACTGGTCATGGACTCCAGAGATGGGGTTAACTTTGGCCGTTTCTGACGGCGAATGAAGATCCGTCGTTTTTTCATGCCAATTCGAGGGAGTGATCAGCTCTGCTAAAGAGCCATTCAAAACAAGAGGAGTTGCAGCATCAAATGGTGGCGAGCAAGTACTGATGGTAGCTATATTTGTCGTGATTGAAGGAAGGCCTTTTTCAGCCTCAGCAACCAAATGAGAGGCAGTAAAAGGTGGGAAATAGGAGGGTTGGGAAATAGGAGGACTTATCGCCTCAGACTCCGATGCTTTGGATACATCAGAGAGAGGTCTACCCGCATTGGGTGGATAATTAGATGAGTGAAGAGCGCATTGCTTTTGCTGAAGTCTCATCAGAATTCCTTCGCCAATTTCCAACTCTACATCAGATGCATCCGATTGCCGCTTGGCCAGTGCATAAGTCAAGCCATTTTTCAACTCTTCTGCAACCCCCGGCTCACTCGCCTGGGGGTAAGTTTGTAGAAGACCTAAAACCGAATTACACTGCTCCACCTTAAGGAGCACCCTTACGTTAGAAGCTGAGTCGGTGGACTTCAGGGCTGCAGTCGGGTGTCCTGAGGTCCCCGGTTCGAGGTAGACAAGCTGCTCGATCAAACGCACCATCTCGGCTTCTGACAGCCGAGTTAGATCCAGACGAGTATAAGCACTATGAGGCGTCCTCAAGAAGCTCTGGCGTTTTCCTTGGTCACAAACACTATTCACCCGCTGGCAGTGGTCGGAGAAGCCCGCCAAAGTGGTACCGGTTGTAGTGGGCAGACGGACACAAGTTGGTTGTAAGTGTGACTTCAAGCTGGTGTCCATTGAATCGGGGGCGTCTACTTGGCGCAGCAAGTCAACAGCCCAACAGGCCAGGCTGTCGGCAGAGGCATCACGACGATAGTCGACAGTCTCGTACGATCGAGCCTCTTCAATTGACTTTACTTGACCAAATGGGCCTTCATGAGATTTGTGCCCATTAGGCAAGAGCTTAATGGGCATAGAAAATCGCATTTTCGCATCACGTCGACGACCCCGTAGCATAATCACAGATTCGGCTGAGCTGACTGTTACGCCTGCTGAGTCGACTGAAATTGGGGAGTTGACGACATTTTCGGAAGCAAAGGGAGTTGATTCTATTCTTTGTTGAAGGAGGGAATGCCAAGGGCGCTTTTCCAGCGTTGGAATCGAGGAATGTTCTTAATGTTTAAGTGCAGTGGGGAAGGGTAATAAAAGAAAAATATAGTCTGAGTAAATTCATAAAACAACAAATATATGCCTAAGAAGATTTACCAGTATGGGGATAGTGAATGTAAATAACTAGGGGGTAATGTTCAATATCTATTAATGGCTAAATTTGCATAAATCTTAAATTATTAGAAGTTGTTTGACCTTGTTTTCGCAACTTGGTCATATTGGTAGGAAAATTTAGAGGAATGCACCTGGTGTTCAGTGTTTGCATTATAATTTCCAGTCGGACCGTGGACGTGGTACATTCCCAGACGTTTTGCCGGCATCGTTGTCGGCATTGTCAGTAAGTCTTGCCATTCTTAGTACCATACAACAATTTGTCAAAGAGATAAGTGAAGCCGATACTTTGGCCAAACTTTTGCTAAACAGTTGTGGTATCTCTCCTTCTGTCATGGGCTATTCACCTCTCCTATATCATCGTATCACGCGTTCACTATCACAATTTTTTCCTTGCCTATTTAAATGTGGTGTGGTGTGCCCTTTTGAGCGGCTTTCATGAGGGCCCTCCACAATCTACACGGGCGTTTTCAGCCCCCTTCACCCTTGTGCTGGGAGGGTCGATCAGAGTCTACCATATTGTTACGCATTCCTCCTTCTCTAGGTCTTATCACTGTCTCTCTCTTGCCTCGTAAGATCCGTTTGCTCTCTCCCTGGTTCACGTATTTCATTTGACCTCTGCCACCCCATCTGTGCTACTCGAGGCGTTATTCTCCCTCCCCTGCGTCTGAGCGACTAATTCGAGGCTTACGCTTCTGAGGACGTCTTATGGTCACGCCCTTGCAACATGGACCAAGTCTCTGGTAAAACCTACCGTCAGCCAACTAGCTCCAGTCGTTACAGGCGGCCAGAGACATAAGACAACGATGTTAAAGCTCAGCAGGAACTGGCTAGCAAGGTTTTGGGAATAGATAGCCAGGTAAAAGTATTTACTGAAATCCAGAGTTCCAGCGGACGGAATCAGAAACCGATGGAGAAGATGATTACGCTTAATTAAATCCACTCGAAATGACACAACATCTATGTGCAATTAGAGCAAATGAAGGCAAGGATTGGATAATTAAATTTGCTATATGAAATGATATAAGATGTATTCACCCTATTTCGTTTAAGGTGATGAAGGACTGGTAGCAGAATTTTCCCACAATGAGATGAGTAGAGTTGATGTTTCCATTCAATTTTACATAGCCTTGCTTTCCCAAAAGTTGTTCTCATCCAGACAGAAGTGGACTGCAGTTTCGACTTCGAATCGGTCTTATCAACACCCCCAGCAGGAGTCGAACCGTGAAAGGGTAGAATGTGAGCTCAACACGTTAACCCCTCGGCCACATTGCCGCGGGTGCCCTTAGGTCAAAGAGCAGATGCGAATTTCAAGGAAGGCCAGGCCTTTTCCCATATCCCATTCTTTGGTGGGATTGTCGATGCAGCAAATGTATGTTTGCTATAAAAATCGACCACGTTACTTATTTATTGTATGTAAGTAGAGTTTCGAGACTACCAGTAAATCAGTAATATAAAATGTATTCACCCTATTTCGCCTAAGGTGATCAAGGGCTTGTGTTAGAATTTTCCTGGCCTGGCCTTCCTTGAAATTCACATCTACCCCGTGACCCAAGGACACTCGTGGCACTGTGGTAGAGTAATTAACATGTCAAACTCCCATTCTGCACTGTCATGGTTCGACTTTCGCTGGGGGTGTTGATAAGACTGATGCGAGGTCGAAACTGCAGTCCACTTTGGATGTGAATAACTTTTGGGAAAGCAAGGCTTTGTGAAATTCAATGGACACGTCAGCTCTACTCATATCATTGTGGGAAAATTCAAACACCAGTACTTCCTTACCTTAAACGAAATAGGATAAATACATGTCATATTACTGATTTACTGGTAGTCTAGAAACTCTACTTACATATGATAAATATATGAAGTAAGGTTCAGGGATGAAAATAAACCGCTAAGGGCAAGAACATAGGTGAGAGGTAGCACAACTGTTGGATAGAGAATTGCTAGGCCGGATTTCCTTCATTAGCCACTAAATATGTTGTAACTGTTGGCTATGTATGGAGTTTCACACTGACGATGCTGATGGCGAGGCCAGCGAAACGCCTGAGAATGTACAAAGTGAACGGTCAGATATTGTAAATTACCATCAATAGTATGGCAGAGGATGCTGGACTAGGCATGCTCTACAAGGTCTCCCCCTTCTTCCCAACCAAGTTGCAGCAGCCAGCAGGTCAAAGTAATAATCTCCACTTCTCTTAGTTCGACCAACCTAAAAGTCCCTCTGACAAAACTTATTATCTGCAATCATAAAAACAAAGGTAGAAAGCTAAAGCGCGTCAAGCAAATATTAGCTAACATAAAAGATCTATGATCGTGAAGCGTAGAAGTGTATCTACGACATAAGTGGCATCGTATCGTAGCCGAACTCATCAATGGAGTGAAACCCCAGAGAGACATCGGCAAAGGCAAGGTGCTGATGGCAATAATTCGGGATGAATTAAAGGTGGCTTACGATTTCGGGAGTTATTGTTAGTGTAATATTATAAGATGGGACGAAAAAGATTTCCATAAGCTTAATTATGGTAAATAATGCAACTGTGACAACCATGAATAAGGATGATGAGTAGGGCCATTCTTGCTTTATTATTAGTTAGTTTTGGAGGATAGTCTAGATTTGCAAATTTAAATAGATAAATCTTTCTATTTGCCCTAAGATTAATAGGCTAAGGGATCATTCAAATATAAGTTTTTACGATATCGACTTCATTGAATGTGGTGGGAAAAGTGAGTTTTAAAGAAGGAGACGCCAAGTAACAGAATTTTATTGGAGCCATCGCACGAAAATGGAAGACAAACAATGCTAGGGAAATGTGTAACATCGTTAATAAACAATTTTAGAGCTATTCGTAGTGCAAAAAGATATTCACAATGATTTAATCATGAGGTTTACAGCCCGAAAGTAAATCACATCCTGTTTAGCTTTCACTCCTAATAATTAGTAAATGATCCATACATTTCTGATAGTCTTTAGATACCCTTTCAAAGCTTTGACTGATCTCTAGTCAATTCGAACCCTAAATTAAGAAAAATTTGCCTGGATAAATAAATAAATATGTATATATATGCTCGCAGACTACGGCGAGTGCTACGATCATAATAGAGAAGTAGGGTTTTTTAATATAACTAAGGACCAAACTAAGTAAAATTGGGGTAAAAAAATGAATACTCTACGAATTGTTTTACTTCGTTCAAGTACACAGTGCACTACAAGCTGTGCTTCCCCGGGAGTTTGTCCTCTTCCAGCAATGTTAAATACTCCCCAAGACTTCCCATTTTATAAGAGTTACAGATGAAATCAATTTCATCGTATTCAAGTTAGTGAATGAGCCAAAACAAGAAATGCTGGCTTATGACCTAATTACACTAATGTATGACTAATTGATGTTATTTATTGATTAACAAATTAATAAAAAGAATAATTTAATAGGCATATTGCAGTATAACACAATTTTATATGTAGTGAAGTTAAAAAAAAGAAATTTGATAAATATATTAGATGAAGAGTTCGATGGAATGTTTCATTCGAAAAGTTAAGGAAATAATATGTCCTAATATTTACAGAGGGATTCGGTAATATATAGGGTCGTAGAGAGGGCTCTTTTGCTGCCACCTAATATAACTTCTGAGTCTAAAAGTCTGAGCCCACTACCAAGAACTGTGTTTACTTCATAATTTATTTTTAAAATACCAATACAAATATTTATCAAGTTGATCCTTTTCAGACGAGTTGACATAATTTTTCACTAAAATGTAGATCAAATAATGTAAGTCAACAAAAGTTCGTTTGTATTTATTAAAAGTCAAAATTTGAGGATCCATATCATTCTAGCACTCTCTTGGAGGATCTCAGAGCTTGTTTAGAGATATCGCAAGACGTTTTATCTTTTCCTCTTTTAAATGTTCCTAAATGTGTTGAATGGGGTTAAGTATTAGTGACTAAGAAAGGAAAGCCATGCAAGTCAGCATTCCTTGCGTTTCCTTCGACATCAACTAGGCCTGGCACAGCTGTATGCATATTTAGGACAATTGTTCTGGTGGAAATTGAATTCCCTTTCACGCAAATTTAAGCCAGAGGGGATGGTATACCTGTGTAAAATAGAGTGGTTCTTCTCTTTGTTCAATTTGTAGTTGATCCTGGGAAAATAATCAACTCTCCACATCAAAATATTTCCACTATCATGTTTCACTGTGGTCTTTATGCACTATTAAGTTAGCCTCTTTGAGGCTGTTTACTTGCATAACCTCTCCAATTGCAACCGTAAACTTCACATTTTTACTCATATCTAAGTCTTAAAAGTGAAATTCTAGTATTGGTTGGTCTATGCTAAACGTTTGCATATGCATTGCTTTTGAAGTTGTAATTTGGAAGCTGTTACTCTCCCATGAAGACCGAAGTTTGCAAGTCGCCTTTTGATGGTACTTTTACTAATTAAGATAGGACATTCTTTAACAGATGAATTGAAATGCTGTTTGGTCTTGTAATGAAGTTAGATTTATATAATGGCCTTCAGATGTTATGATCAATTTGGACCTGCCCCCTATACACATTGAGGTAAAACGTCTTTTAACATCTGAATACAAACTCTAAGATTCTCCAAGAGAATATTAGAATGATATGGATTCTCAGATCCTGCAAAGGCATGTAGAATTGACGTTAGACAGAGTGAAAGCTCTGTCTAAGGCAAAAGGTGGTTATGCGAAGAAAAGTTCGGTTTTAAGGAATCTCATGTTTC